TTACCTAACTGTTTCTCAGACAACTTACTGATTGCCTATGCATGGGCAAACTAAATCGACACGTGCTGAATTCTTACTGGGAAACAGAAGCTAGCCACTGAAGACATCGCCGACAACGCACGACACCATCCTTAAGATTTTAATTAATCTTGAACATTAGTTGAAGCCTTACTAGGTAATTCTGGCTAGACTGTCCTAAATTATATCAAAAACTACTCAATCGCTGTTTTCACCATACTTAAATGAATAGTCGCATGGCCTGCAGTCATTTGTTGGTTTGCCTCCCACAACCCATCTTAGGGGGACCGTTTTCACAGCATCGCACCGTTCTGATCTGAATTTTCGGTGCATTTCTGCATTAAATAGACGATGCTCTACGAAACCATTCAGATATACATATTGCCGTAAAGACAATGGCCCACAGTTCTGCCGTTCAGGGTCGAGTATATGCGGGTAGGTGGTTTTGCTGGTGGTCTGCCTGTCGTACTTTACTGTAAGATGGCGCATTCGTATCATTCGCGCAGTCTGACATTTGACCTTGAACCGGAGAAATATTGGTAGCAGTAAAATCGATAAATGAACTCGCTGTGTGCGGAATGGAAGGGCGCAGATGCTGTTATGTCTGTTTCGTTAGTTGCCGTTCGATCGCAGTTTGCAGCATTACAACTTGCATTTAAATAAGACGAAAAGGCACGCACTAACAGCAAATTTTCAGATATTTTTGTAGTTTTGCTGTACTAGTTATTGAGAACATGAATCAAACCCATGCATTAAGTAATTAGTTCGTTTCTTAGACTTTTTCTTTCATTGAGACTATGCCGTAAAGCTGCTTGACTCAATCTCAGCTGCTAACAAAACAAACCACTGATCTCAGGCAAGGGGTCATTTGCTAGAATCTGAGGTTTTTAAAAACCAGTAAACGAAATTTAATCGCCATAGATTATTCTCCTTTTTGCACTTACCTCGTCGCTGAATGCGACACCTTCAACATCTCGTAGTTGTTTTTGGAATTGTTTACCTGTTCCACAGCTGCTGTGTGCTCCATTCGGATCGGAGGTATTTGTAAAGTGTGAGGCAGGGGGTCCTTGTCGAGGGCACGAAAGAAATGGCTGAACTTTGGGTCATGTTTTGGTGAGGGCTTTTTCCCTGTTGAGAGCAATTCGCCGATGCACTGGAAGCAACACTGGTAAAAAAGAGGAACAATGCGAAAACAATTCTCAAACTTTTTAAAGTTATTGTTATTGTGTGTGTGAAAAACTGCTTCCCTTTTAGCCAGGAAATTATTAGTCCTACTTGAAAAGAAATTATGGTAAGAATGTCTTGTAGGGCCGCCTAAATATCTATTCCCCCGCCCAACTTTCTTACGGAATGGGTCGTTAAACATTTAATTCTTGGTGTAAATAAATATGTAATTCTGTCGAAAGTGACCAAAGAACATTAAATTAAAGCCGCATGTAGTTGTTTTAATGAGGTAAATAGAATCAATTCCATGAACATGACCTCCTGTTGCTCAGGCAGCTGATGCCTGTTGATGGAACTTTGGACCTACATTGGCAGAAGTTAACGAAAAGAGAAAAGAAGAAGCGATCAATGGAACAAGAGGTTTACTGTCCTGACGTCAGGACAGTAAACCTCTTGTTCCATTGATCGCTTCTTCTTCTTCTGATGAACTGCTTCCTGGAACTCGGATATCCTCCTCTATTGAAAAGGGAAAAGTCTGGCTATTGCAGGCTACTACTGAAACAGTAGTTCATTATTATAAGTCAAAGACAAGTAGGAGCTCTAAACACAGTCCTACCGAAATCACCGTCCCATGAACCATCCTCCCCCCTCTGAGTGAATTCTGGCTTTAAGGAATTTAGGAGGGCGGTAAAGAACATTGACAATTTAGAAAAAAACGCAGGATTTGTTCTTAAGACTGCAAGCGATGCAAGTGGTGTGCTTCAAATGGACGATAGCAGAAGCGTAAAGTA